GCTCTCACTCAGTGACTAGTATAGTAATATCTCGGGTGTTCAAACCATGAGGAGGGGACTATCATTTCACCTCAGCGAGGGGGTCGTATTTAGTGAGTAAAGGGAACGAGGTATATCTGACTTTGAGAATAGTGTTTTCGGTTGAGGGCTTTTCCCGGTTTTCCTCCTTCGTTCGACGGCAGTTATTCCAGGGAAAAGGGAAGAGAACTTTAAAAAATCTCTGGAAAAGGGTGAAATTTGGGGAGCTCAGGAAGATAGTAGGTAGGATAGGGGATGGGGAATGGGGTCGTACTAGAGTAAGGTTCAAGGGGGTCGTATTTTTTTGCAAAAATTATCCCAACGGCAGGAAGTGCCCTGATTGTGAAAGAGTTATTAGCAACTTGTGCTGTATGGCTCAGAAGGGCCACTCTCCTGCGAGATAAAAGTAAGGATAAAGTCTTCGCCGTTGATCAATCCCTTTGTGGGATGCGGCACGCATTCTACTTCCATTCAGAATCGTAGTGGCTTATTGAATGCGATGTGGCCTATACAATGACTTAAGGGGAGGGGGCATAAGTGGGAGTCGATCCGGAATTCGTTTCTAATGCTCATCTTCACCGAGACGCTTTACATGCTTTACATGCTTTTTTTATCCTCAGAACATTTTACCCTGTGTCACCCCCTGCTAAGCTAAACCTTGCTGGAGAGTGCCCCTTCCGAGACACATAGCGCACAGTTCGTAATAGAAATGGCTCAAAGGTTACATTTATGAGTTCAGGGAAGTCCGAGAGAGTATGGGAGGTCAGAAAAAAAAGCCTTAGCCCACTGCGTTCAAAATTGGTCAGTTATGTGGGTGAAATGGGTGGAGCCATGGTTCTGTCGCGAGTGAGCTGCGCTCTCCGCGCGTATTTTTGAGCGGCGAACGTAGTACATCCTCCATGCTTGCAGACAGGATTACCACGTCCAAAAGGGGCCTGAGCGATCTGCTAATTCACATTATATTATCCGTTTTCCTGAATATCTTTCAAGAAATTTGGTACAGATTTGATAGTTTCGTTTTGCAGGTGTCAGATGAGTCGGAAATGTCGCACAAGGAACTGCTGTCAAAACTGACAGAGAAATATGCTGACAATTAAGCATGTTTGGTGGTGTTCATCTAATGAGTGCGCTTGCAACGGCGAAGATTACTGTTACCATGGCGTGTTTCACTTGTCATCGCCCGTTTTCCGTTGTTTTTAAAGTTTTCCGTATATATCTCACTTAATGCTCTCCTCTACAAAGCGTTCTGTTAATCATCCACCAAACTATGCCGATATCAAGCGAATGTGTTGCGTGTTGCGTCCGTTCATAAACGTGTGCTAACACAAACGATTCCTTCCCTTCCTCTATTTTTCGCCTCTTTTTTTCCTCTTTTCTCTTCTTTTCTTCCCCCGAGAAAGGTTCAATTAGGGTGCATTTGAGTGCCGAGAGCAGGCAAGCAGGCGTCTTATTTCATCGGGGGGCGCGCATGTGTTCTTTATACCCGGTTACGTTATTCGGAATGTTCGCTCGCGCTTTATCTGAAAAAATTCTGCTGCTATCCCAAGATTGCTCTATCTCGGTGTGACTTCTCCGTTTTATAAACATCTTTTTTTAAATGTTTTTATTGTTTTCGTTTTGTGTGATAATAACCGTTGTGCGCGTTCAAATAAATAGACAGTCTTTTTTTCTTTTGTGTGATTTACTCACTCGCATGGTTTGAATTGGTTTGCTGATAATGGAAGGAACCATGCTGATAAGATTTCAGGGGCTAGCTGGTACAGATTGGACGGCTCAGTTCGGCGACAGGGGGGGTCATTTTGCACTTTAGCTACTTCTCGTCAACGTGTTGAGCCACCTAGAGAGCTATTTCATGAGCTCACAAGTGTTAACAGGTGGCTCGACGAATTCGCATCAGCTTCACAAGAGTTCACAGGTTTCACCAGAATGATACTTGTAAACTAGTGAAGCAGCAGAAGTGCAAGATGCCCCTCCCCCCCCCCGTCACCGAACTGCGCCGATTGGGCCATTAAACCGAAGTATAAGTACGATGGATATGTTGACGCTGGGTAACGCAGCAATCCCCGAGCGGCGGCACGAGCCGTCTATGGTGGGAGAAATTGGGAAATTATTCAAAACTCACAACCCACTCCGGAGTTACTTCCTTTGAATACGGAGCTCCACTGACAATGACCCTTTTTGCTAACACGCCCTAACAGCACGATACCTCCGTACGTTTGAAGAATCTCCCACGTTTCTATCACTTGGGAAGGCTCGCCATTCCAGCGGAATGCGTGCTCCATCAAAACCTGACTGAGAGGCGGCAACTGGTTTTTTGGGTCGGGTAAGGCGCACTGTCGAAGAGAGAGAAACGAAAATAGAAAACCAGAAGGCGTTTTGCGTTTGCATCGGATCGAATTTAGTCTTGAATGCTGTGCGGCAGCTGCAGGTAGCATTTATGCAAACATCGGATAATAGCTAACCGTTTCCCCGCAATCTCGCTATGACGTAAGATACGGACCCGGCTCCCCCTTCGGGTATCTATCACCCCAATGTACGACGTGCCCTGGGCGTCGCTTGTTGAGATGGCCAGCAAGGCAGGATATGTGAAAAGGGACGTAATAGATGTCGAGGCAATACTGGAGTCGAAGATCGATCCCGTCTATCGCAAATGAAAGCGCCTCACCGATATTCGCTGGGCCAGGGCAAGCAGAGTGAGGAACGAAGCATCAGCACAGACAGCGATTATTTTCAAGGGTAATCTATGAGTTTTTTTTTTGGTGTGACATGGGAGCGGGGGTGAGGGGTGAGAGTGTAGGTCTGCATCGATCGTGAGAAATTTTCCACATCCACTATTGAGGGATAAGAAACCCGTGAGGAATTTAGGGCAGTAATCAATGAGTGGGTTGTAGACCTGCCCAACAATCACCCTGTCTCTACGAGGATGGTCTTTCGGCTAAAGCCATAAATAGAGAACGGTGCCACTGCCGTTCGGAAATTCGTGGCAGTGAAGCTGCTGAAGCGGAGCTGCAGAGAGCCAACGGTGCCCCAGTCAGACGTGGGCGGGCGCAGACATGTAGCGCGTCCGGCTACTGCTAAGTTTCTGGCTGGTCGCATGGCGTGTTGCGTGCTTTCAACGTGCTTTGCCTATGTGTGGATTATAAGCAAAAATTCTGCTATCACGATATGCCGGTGTCACTGCCATGCACTTCCGAATGTTGAAAAATGTAGCATCTCACAGCGGCGTACCTGCCCCACCCCCTCCTCCCATAGAAAAATAACCTCGCAAGTGAGCGTAAATTCTCAAAGTTTCATTTCGCTCCTTCATGCCTGCTACGCTTAGCGTCTGCTTTTCGGCGGGTATTTCCTCTCAGAAACACGTTCCGCATCTACCTGATAAGTTGGTTTTTCTTTGCACAATATTGCCCGGCTCGCAATCACCCAATTTGGGTCAGCTTTACGGCTCGAAAGTGAGTGAGGAGGGGCTGAGGCTTCTCCTCCTCTAGAGGATCACCCCCTTCTGGGACTGTCAAAGACAGTTCCCGCAATCGATCGCTTTCCGCATTCGCAGAGAATATACCACTTTCGTCACTCGAAACGGCGAGATAAAGAAGCTAGAGACGCGTGATTATTGCAACCATTGCAACCACGATTACTTTCACTCTGCAAGACAACGGCTTACAAGCGGAATTGCGTGTGTACATAGCGTTGCCTGGAGCGTCGTAGGGTGATTTCCTGTCCTCTTGCCGGGGATCGGTTGCTGATCGGGCTTGCCGACGTCTGAAAAGCTCGTTCAAGGCACCCATTGCTAGGGGTATCTCTGTTCAGTGTTCCGAAGGTTTTTTCTCTTCTTGCTCTACTGGAGAATTACATATGGGCTACTGGTTCATGGTTGAGCACCTACTACTCGTAACTCTTGATCGTTGAAACTGTCTTTAACTCGCTTGTTGTAGATCTGTTAATTTGCTCGCTGCGGATTTGGTCCGGAAGTTCGCTTCTGCTGCAGCGAGAGGGTTCCCGCGGAAATGCAGCAGTGGAACGACCATCGGATTGCTCACATTTCCATGTGGAAACCTCGAGAGCCTCTCAAACCAGCTATTCCTTCTGCGGTTAACGAGATTCCAAGCACTGATGCGCTGGTGGAGCTTTCTATAGAACGCGCCACGTACTCGTCTTCCATTCAGAACTGTAGTGACATTCACTGAAAGACAGAATTTATGACAACGAACGCATAGAGTGACTTTTAGCCAGCCGAGCGTTCGTTGTCATGAATTCTTTTGCGACCCATTTGACGGAGATAGCGCTCTCCATGGCGTGGCACTAAAGCTGCGAAATTGTCCCATTAACGTTGCCACTACCCTTTCATTATTGACACATGAACATAAAGCACCACATCATCCCAGTGGGTCCCATACGAGCCCCACGTCGCGGACTTCGGGACGCGCGCTGAAGCCTAGAAGGAATCCTTCATGGGAAGTCTAAAACGACACCATTGGCGATTGCGCTTCGGCTGTATGTAGCCATACGAGTAGGAAGGTAGGACTATCCGAGAAAGTCTATGCTTTATCACACATCTCTAGGAAGTGGCGCTTCTCAAGTGCTTGTGTGTGTCTTCTTGTTCCAACCTATCAAGTTGCATTACTAGGCACATACTGGAGTCTCAACGTAACTGCTGGGAAGTAGCCGCTTGAAAAAAATTCTTGGTAAAATCGGGAACCTTAAAGTCATAGTTTACGCTAATCTAGTTTTCGTATCGAGGTAGGCAGGTCTGGCACTTGTAGGATAGTTTGCTATCACCGCCCCGCAAATAAGCGTTGAAATAAAGAGAATTCGTGGGAATAGGAATTGCTAGTGCACTGATAGAAATTAGTGTGCTTTGTTAGCCATTGGAGTGTACGCTCCCTATATGAGCTTTCTTCACGATTGCACAAAAATACACTGGGCGAATCGTTGTGGAGAAAGTCGGCGATAAAGGAGCACCGTACTCCGAGTTTGTTGAAGAGATGAGGAAAGCTGTCGATGGAGGAAAGGAATGCAGGTCAGATCCAAGAAAAACCTTTGAGGCGCAGTTCGGTGACGGGGAGGGGGTTGCAGGGGGAACATTTTGTCACTTTTACTGCTGTTCCGGTTACAAAGTGTGACTCTGGTGAACCTGGTGAATCTGTGAAGGCTTGGACAAGCTCGTCGAGTTCACCGTTGGTAAATCCTGTCAAATCACGAATGTCATCTCCAGATAGGTCGAACTGGGAAGCTAGCCAAAAGTGCAAAAATTCCCCCCCCCCCACCCACCCCGTTGTCGAAGTGCCCTGATGCTTTGACTGTTCATTGAGGAAGTTTCAATGGTCATTTGATCATTTAAAAAAAGACACCATTTAGATATGCAGCAGTTGATGTCGAAGTACAAGTGCAACGTCAGGGTACAGAAGGTGGTAGTAAGCTGAACAAGGTTATATTCGTGCAGTAGTGAGTTTCACAGCAGTAACATGGGTTTTCCGAAGTTGAACCAATCAAGTCCATTCCTTGCAGCTGTCCGGATGAGGCACCAGTACGTCGTCGAATGCTCTACGCTTCGTCAGTTCGTGCCCTGAAATCGACGCTTGGTCTCGAATCGCTGATGCAGGTGAGTATGGTTCATGGACTGAAATACTGTCGTGATCTAATCGGGCATTTGACGAGGAGCGGATTGGAATGCAGCCGGGACGACCTTTCTCACCAGTAATGCCATCCTGAGCTCGTTACCATTGGTGGAGAAGGTTGTACTGGCAGCGCTCCAAGCCACGCCTGTGACACGCCTTCTTAGGGTTGCCTAAAACAAGGCTTGGCATAGTTTACAACCGTGGAAGGTTCGCATTTGAGCCCTAAGGAGGTCGCATTCGCTCCGCTGAGGGGACTTCGCATCAAAGATAAACGCTATAGGAAATTACAGGGAGGCAAGGGATTGCTTGTGTTATTGGGGTGAGGGTGTAAGGATGAGTGGTGGGATCCTACACCCTCGTTGCGGCAAGGAGCACAAACTCACTTGCTTGCAAAATGCATCACTTCCAAGCCGCATCAGTTAGACCTGGGGCGAATGTCGTGGACGTGATGCCTCTTGCTTCGGCTTCACCGCAACGTGGATGTAGTGCCTATCCGGGCTATGGGCTGGGGTAGTGGCACACTACACTCGCTCCCCTCTAAAGTGCAATTGAGGTTCCGCCAGCTCAAAATAGAGTCGGATCAGATAGATAGGCAATATTGCTGAGCCCGGGGCCAAAGTTTAATCGAATGAGTGCCGGATTGTGTACTTTTTTGGAGGCGGACCTCGACCCACACCTGAGAGAAGGGTTTTTGCATATGATGTGAATGGGTACAGCTTAATTAGTGCACCACTTGGTCCGCTCGAAAGGGCACAGGACCGCAGCTGGGGAGTAGTGATACCTGGGCGCAGTCTCCATACTCCGCCTGAGCCATTCTAGCGATAGCAAGGCCCCGCAACGAAACACGCTCGGTGGTGGAGGACAACAAGAAAGGAGAGAGAGCAGACATGTCGCTCGTTTCGCCATGGTTAGGCATGTGGCTGGCCGTGCTGCAGCGCGTGGGGTATAGTGACGGCACCCAGGTACTCCATAGGTTCTCTAGAACGGCTCGGCACAGTACTGCATTGCTTCTGTTTCGATTATAACTTTGCTCTGACGTTTTTGTTACTCCTCATAAAATCCTTTTCTAGGTTCAAGCATCGGATCTCTCCGACCTGGATGAAAAAGCCATCAAGCACGATCTGGTCAGTAGTCAGAGAACCTAATTGCTACGCTTTTCCTCAGCCTCTATTCATGTCAGCGCCCTTCACGTTTTCGTTTCTCTCCTTTGTATCGCATTCTAATTTCAGTCTGATGTTTTTATGTATTTCGATGTCGTTTCATTTTCATTTTCTTTTGTTTATGTGGTACGCCAAGTCCCTTCACAGTTTTCAGGCCAGCTAGTCAAAGAATTATGTATTTACAGATAATTATTTTGTTCTTTATCCCAGCTCAATGAATCGTTTGTGCCTGATGATTATAACGAGCTGCAGTAGAAGCACATCATTTACACTTGGCGGACTTGAAGCTTCTTGTCCACGTGAAACATGCGAATCGATTGCACCTGCGAATCATCGTACCGCCTGTGATGTAGGGGAGACGATCAAGACAATCGTGATTGGCCATTCTTTCCGCGCGCGGCAGTGTAGACTACGACATCATAGACATTTGGCTAGTTATATTAGGTTGTTCGAAAAGAAATGCGCGTTTGAGTCTAAAAAACTTTTTTTATTATAAAAACGAAATTAAACAAGATCAATTCAAAAGATAATCTCCATTACTATCAATGACTTCCTAATTTTCGAAGAAGCTCGGCGCCGGCGCGACTTCAAAAGTAGTTGGACCACCAGAGTTGGACTTCTTCGCGGTTTGTGAACTTTTCTCTCGGCCAGGGAGTGCTGCATCGACCGGAACAGATGGTAATCGGATGGTGCCAGGTCTGGGCTGTATGGCGGATGAGGCAGGACTTCCCAGCCCAATTCCTCAATTTTTTCCAAAGTGATTTTCGCGACATGTGGACGAGCGTTGTCGTGGAGGAGTTTTGTCGACGTCGTTTCGACACCTTGACGACGCAGTAAGAAGAAGGTAACTTTTTCTTAACCGAAAAAACAAGGTAGGCATGGAAACAAAAAATAATGAACTGGACAATAAAACTCTCTTTCTAATAGACAAAACTGTTTTAAAAAATCTTCTATAGTAGGAGAGAAATAAATGGACAAATTCAACGCGCATTTCTTTCCGAACAATCTAATACATTGCTTAATATCGGAATCTACGAGATCAGACACATCAACCCTTGCGGGCGCTGCGTCGCACGCGACACCTACCAACGCTGCAAATTACGATTGTTTGTCACATACCCGTTATATGAAATGTAGAGCATTACTTCCCAGTTTCGGCGACTGCGCAGAAACAGGCTTTGCTAACGGTGTGACGTAAATCATCGCGTCAGGACCAACCCATTTTTGAGACGGAAGCTGATAAATTTGCTTTCTGTTTGCCTTATGCTTACTGCAAAAAAAACTGGGTGCAAAGGGGTGTAACTCGTGAACTGGAGCCCAGCAGCGGCACCGTTTCCTACCGATAGTGATATTCTGGCTCGAAACTACAGGTAGAAAGAGGCAGGTGGCGGCGGCGCCAAAACTCTTCCCACAGGCAACAGCAACTGGTTTACTGGTTAAAGACAGCTCCCGCGATAAAGTCTCATGGATAGCTGCTTTCCAATTATGAAACAGTAGCTGATAAGTAATCTCCCAAAGAAGAAAACAGGCAAGAAGCGTCCTCCAGAACAACATAAACAAAATCGCTCCCTCACAGTCACACCTCCCTGCGGTCTCTGTGCAACCCCTAGCTCACAAATCTCTCTATCACATCTCGCAGTAGTTGATATCATCCAGTGCAAAAAAAGAATACAAAAAGAAAACAACAAAAACGCAGAGGAAAAACTCTTGGAAGGAAAAAGGAATTTTATCAACGCGGTGTCTGAATTTGGGATTACGGTAGCGCACGTTTTGTGCGTCGAGGTTTTGCATCACGAAAATTGCGTACATGTCGTCGCTGCTTTTACGCGTTTCACCTCGCGAAATGAGTTGAATTGAATGTATATACCTCCAATGAGTAAACTGTAATAAAGGGGAGCAGAATTATCCATGGGCATTAGCAATGCCCGCCGCCCCGAACTAAGAACAACTGAGGCGGCCCTCCGTCGGAGGACATCTAGCAAGTAAGGCGGTCCAACTGAGCAGGCGTTAGAACTAGAACTTACAGCGGCTGTAGCTCGCTTCTCGCTCGCTGTGCAGACGAATAGAGTGGGACAGTCTCTAGCTTGGGGCTGTACTACTTGCACAAGGAAGGACGACCATGTACTACTCGAGCAGGGCTGTCTTTAATTCTACCCTCGAATCCTCCTCTGTAATAACCGCAGCACATCAAAAATGTAAATTAACCAACGCCGCGGTTGAGAAGAGTCACCTAGTCATCATCTGTCTCATCTATGAGTGAAGATGATGCACTTTCGAAGCCTACTGTGTATCATTTGCGCGATCCAAGGGTTGAGCGCCTGTTCTGCCAACCAAGCTTACCATCCTATCAAGGGCGACCTGTGGGTTGGGTGCGTTCCATGTGGGAGAATAAAATCAACAACTCGTATATCAGACAGCGTAACTTGACCAAACATGAGCTGTGATCGCTTAACTCTTACGCCTAACTCACCTTTCTTGTCACTAATGAGGGCAGGTCGTACGTTGGTGATCCCCAGCGAGAGGGGTCATATTTGATTGCTGAAGGGTAGGGGAGGGTCGCATTTGCCTTCGTGAAAAATAATAGCTTCCTAAACTGCTGACACTGACTGTTTCGTAATAATGTTTTTTTTTTTTTTTTTTTATTTTTTTTTTTTTTTTTTTATTTTTATTTCTAAAGATGCTTTGTAAAATTTCAGGAACAGAGAAGTAGGAACAAGGGAAGGGAAAAGACGTCCGTACCGAGAGGGGGGGATTTGGAGGGCGAAAATGTGTTTCGTGCGCAAACTTTTTCCCTAACGCCTGGAGATGCGTGCTAGTAAAGTGTCTGGAATGTATTGTGCAAGTAAGGGTCATGGCTGTTGTTTTTAAATTGACGAAGGAGCGCTAAAGCTAAAGAACAAGATTTTGATTCATGAACTTAACTATAAGAAGATATCCTAAGCAAAACTACCTCACCCTTCGGGTGCATCTCGAGTGATTGAATCGGCCGGAGGCAAACGAACAACTTCAAACCCACTTTGGTACTGTAATTATGTTGTTTGTCTATCGAAAAACAGGATGACGGTTGTCCCGAATGCAAAAGTTCTACGAAAACGGCATGCCACGCCACAATAATAAGTATGAAAGTCACGCAGAGACATCATATTAGGTTGGTCGAAAAGTCCTGCGACACTTTGTTTGAACTATTCTAGAAAAAGACCAAAAATCATTTTGAATGTTTTTATCTCTGATTAGTGGAGAATGTCTCCTGGGGTTTCTGAAAATGGGTATATCATGGCTCCGTGGAAGTTTTCAAAGCTTAAAAATACCTCAGAGATCGAGGTACTTCTCGACCTATCCCATATTATGAGTTCCTGTAGGGCAACTCCGCCATAGTCGAGGAAGCTAACACTTACGTTGTCTTGAGGAAGGATATCGCTTGCCATAGCAGAGAGTTCCTTTTGCATCAGCGCTTCCAGGCTGGACTTATTCAACTCGGAAGTAGGCAATGTATAGGTCGGCCACCAGCACAGAATGACGGCCCTTTACTTAAGCTTCTTGAGGCGCAGCCGAACGTAACCACCAGTGTGTTGGCAACCTCTCTAGGCTCCATCTAACCGACAACTGCCATGCTTCTCCGCAGTCTCGGTTATCGGAAAAAATTTTTATATGAAGGATGACTTGAACCCCTCTGACTCATGAGTGAATCCACCCTCTGACAGCCATACCGAATGACCGGAGACTGAGTTGTTTTTTTCCTTGTACACAATGAGAAGCAATTCGTGAGCATCATTGTTTGTTGGTGGAGAGTGTGGGGTCCCTTGCGTACAATCTTTGCACATGCTCCCTCGCAACGGATCTCTCAACAGAAAAAGTAGATTGACAGTCAAAACAGATGTGGGGCATGGGAAAAGGAATTTCAAGTAGTTATTGGTGGGACTTCAAGAGCGGTATCTCTAGATTGACTAGCAATAATCGGTAAAGGATTAAGCAAATCCCACTCTAACCAACCTCACAACATGGATGACGTCACGTTTGAATTCTTCAAAAATACTCAATTTTTCTCCACCGCTCGGCAATGCGAAGACTGCATGTTAGTCAGGCCACACCAAAAGATCGTGGATCTTCATCTGAGAATGCGACCATACCCAGCTTATTCATCAAATTTAGCAGTCTCTAACTACTACCTTTTTTGATCCCTACCGCATCCATAAGAAGGCGAAAATTCCGAAAATCGACGTCTACCCAAAAATGAGGTCCACCTCTTCTTCTTATCATAGTTGCCGTAGTTCTATAAGAATGGAAATGAGAAGCTGTGCAAAAGAAGGGCACTAGTCCTAGTCCTTAGTGGTGATTACCTTGTAGATTGGAGATGTCTTTTAGTGACTGAAAATTTAGTCCGAAAAATTGGTCAAAGTGTCGCAGGACTTTTCGAACAACCTAATATTATATTTTCAGGATATGGAGTGGAGTGTAATCGAGCGTGAGTACTTAGGAGTAGCCCGCTCTGATCACTTTGAGTGAAAAATCACACCATGAATCAATGATGTTAATACGTGCGTTGCCCCTGCGTTCCGTGTTGGAGCGAATCAATCAAAGTTCCATTTCAAATTGCTCGCTCACACTGTCAGCCCGCTGATTACTCAGGATGCAGCCAAAGGGTAAGTTAGTTCAGTAGGTATCTTCTTAGGCCTCTTTTATTTTTTAGCCCCCTATGCAAGCTCCGGCCGTTCGAGTACTTTCATTCCCACAAAGGCTTCATAGATTCTGTCAGGAATGCTGCTTTTCAGATGTTGAGGCAATACTGAAACCACTGTACGCAAAGTTCGCAGAGTACGACAAAACTGGTGACAGTGAGGCCGCTGCCAAGTTTTATCATAGCCAAGGAGTCATCGTGGAAAAGGGCAAAAAAGCCACTTTCGGGAGAGAAGGTTAGGCGCGATTACTATATATCGGTTACTTATAATCGTCATGTCATCATTTACCGTATTACTGTGCTCTCTATCTTTGGTAATATGCCTTTCATTGCAGAGATTATTAAAATGTACAACGAGTTCTGGGAGAAGGTCGGTCCGCACGAATTTTTGGTCAGTGGTAGACTTCTTTCTAGAGTTTCCATAACTTCGAATTTCGGACTTTTATTTTCTTTGAATACTTATGGAATTAGAAGTGCACGAAAAATTGGCTTGCAAAGCAATTTTTATTTCAGACAAGCAATGAAACTTACCAGGGTACGGATGACTACTTGATGGCTCAGTGCGACGTTTGAGGTGCGTCCGGAAAAAGGAACAGGCGCCTTCAAGGGCAAATGTAACCATATTTGGAAGAAGGAGGACGGAGAGTGGAAGATTTATCACGAAGAATTTGAAACGATTTAGAACATTTCGTGCAGCGTTTTTTGGCCCGTATGTTCAGTTATTTCGCATTTCCACATTTTCACAGACATATGAATTCACATAGCACCTGGACGCTAAATAAAAGTACTGCTCGACTTGTTACCGTAATCCTGCCCCCATTTCTCCCTGATTCATAATTTAAATCATAATTTAGAAACCGGAGAACGCTAAGACATTACGAAAAGAGTACATGGAGAGGAAAGATAAAATATCTGAGGAAATGGCGCAGTAGGACCCTTTTCAAATCACTTTCTTCGTTCACCCCTTAACGAGACTATTATTATTTTTCAACGAGCTTTATCAGCAAGGAGTATCCAGATAAATAGCTGAAATATATAGCAACCTTTTACCCTAGGTTTTTTTACCCTTTAACCCTCATCTGTGCTTTGGAGTGTATTCCTTTCCCCAATGTTTGTTTTTCTTTGTTTCTATTTTACCCATTTTACCGAGACTTTTCAATGGATTTGTGCCGATTTGGATAGCTCAATAACTTCTCCTCTAACCGGGGCCAACCGCAGTTAGCGCGACGTGCCTCGGCTTAATGAGGTCGCTTCGCACCTCGTTAATTATGCCTCGAATCATAGGTGCGACAAGTCATTAACGAGGTCAATCGTACCATTTTCCTCCTACCCGTGTACTGTAGATAGCGCGTTCTTTTGCAGTTAAGCGACAGTTCCCTGCTGAAAACTTGCTGAGTGTAAGAGGAGTTGAAACGAAGTTTGATAAATATAATTTATTGCACAAATAGATCTGACTCGTTGGGATGTCGCTAGGACGAGGCCGTTCCTATTGGATCAACGTGTGAAGGAATGCGAAACAGGTCACGTCGTCATTTCCGGCTTCACAGAATACCTGAAAAAGATTACCGTGTTAGCTGGTAGCGCCCAAAAGATTGGGGCAGACTGAGTCGCTCACTTGTGTGTTGGCCAGATAACTGAAGTCATGGCTTGAACAGATCACATCAAAGAGACCACCGATCTCATCACTGGCTGCTTTTTGAATTTTACGTTTCGACGTTGAGGGGTTGGAGTCGATATTCTGAAGAACTCGTCTTACGGATCTAGCTGAACTATTAAAGGTACTGTAGCAGCACAATTACTCAGCGAATGATCAAAATTGGTGGATGTGGTTGAAACTACAGTGAAATACTACTTATTATTTAGGTTCAGATCGAGAATTCTCAGTACTGTAGGAGACCACCCCTAGCATGAAGATACAGTCATGATCCCCGTCAAAGATAAGGTGCGTGACGGATGTGTGGCCTGGAGCACAACCAAATCAGATTTCCCATCTGTATCGGACTCAGGATGGCACACTGGTGGAGGAGGGGCGCCCTGGCTGCGCAACAGTACGCGCTGTTCAAAACCCTTGGTTGGTAGGGATTATGGCTGTAAGTTTTGCTATTCTGCTTTTCCATTCTCTGCCACTGTAGCTCCAGCAGAAATATAAGGGACATTTACCTACACACCAACCATCAGATCCTCCATCAATGGCGTTTAGCCCCATATCCGACACCATAAAGCTCAATTGTTGCGTCGGCCGCCGTTGTGCTGGTGGAATAATCTTGACACCCTTTCTCGAGAGCATTTCCTCTATAGTCGCCAAACGAATGCGGCCGCATCCGGTCGAAGGGCGAGGGTGGCGCCTTTCACTGCTTTCACTACTTCGCTTGTCTGCAAGTTCACTCTGCCTGAATCTGGTGAACTACTGTGAGATTGGATTGGTAAAGCTCGTTATAGCCACGCGTCAACGCGTTGTCGTGTCAACTCAAGAAAAGGCTATCTAGATGGATCGGCACATCGATGGGAAGCAAAATGCCCCCCCCCCCTGTCGCCCAACTGCGTCAGGCGAGTGCATCAGTGAGAGGAGAGCAGTAGTCCAAGTGGCGCCATTCATGCTAATGGTGTGGGTAGAGCTAGCAGTTTCTCTGGCGCACTACTGGTCATTATCATCTTGAAGGGAGATACGAATGAGGAAGCCACAGTGATGAACATGACTCCGCCCTTACGACCACCGTGGAATATGCCTTTCAGGGGCCACGAAGTCGAGATCCCGCTGTACAGGTCTCTGAATTCCTGCCCGTCTGTTTCCTTACTATTGGATAAGTACCGCATGTCGAGACAGCATACTGTTTTAGATTACCCATTTCGGAAGCACGAAAAGCTTGGTTGAACTGAAAGTGGGCACAGTCCATGCAGATGGTCTTGTCGGAGTTAGCCACCTTCCTCGTTGCAGCATCACTCTTCTTCATTGGCTCGATAAGGAATGCGCATCAATGAGGAAGGCACAATGGTACATCTAAACCCGCCCATGCGATCAACGTGGGATGGGCCTTCGACTCGGATCGAGTTAAGTTCCCCTCCAGATTGTGAGACGCTTTGGCAACGGGTCTCGCTGCAAAGTGCTGCCTTAGGAAAGTAAGGCGTCTGAATGAAAGTGGCTTCAAAAATATGAAAAGCTTGTTTGATATGGGAGGATTCTGATCCTGCGAACTGTCTTAACGTCATTTGGTCCCTCTGACCGCTACAATCCTCTTGCTTTGGGTGAGTTGCCCAGAGAGAGAGAGAGAGAGAGAGAGAGAGAGCAAAATGTGGACCAAATGCTAGGCGCAGACAAGAAGTGCGGGCTTATATCTGTTAAGTTTCATTCAAACTCCCTTACCGCTTCAATGATCTTTTTCAAGCGTTCGTCGTTACATTTGTCGGTGAAAAGCTCTGGCTTGGCGTTTGGAGCCGCGTGAACTCGTCGAAGCGGTTGCCGGTAACCATCGGAAAAAAATTCATGTAGAATTTTAGTATTTTCCGAACAACGAAGAACCTTTAGCTGACTTACTATTTGGCTGGTTCTCATAGAGCGAAGGTAGTGTTTCACTGCTAAGTTCATCCTCAGGAGGGTCTTCTGGTAAATCTTCCACAACGTACCTAAAAACATATGCATGAAAAAAATCCCCGCAGTGAATTTTTTAGGAGCTCGCAGTCGAGACGCGGCTGAAGTCCCGCGCGGTTGCAGCGCGGATACTTTAGTCAGACAAGATGTCGTTCCGTATATGAATAATTCAGCTAAAGCCAATGGGCATCGA